CCCCCAATCCCTCATATTCAGCTAAATGGAAATTAAGAGGAGAAAAACACTTGTTCCTTCTTTGACCAAAATGGTGGCCATTTACTTGTCTATCATCAAACCCACTCCATTTCCAAATTTAACCTTGCCCTCGTGTCACACCAGATGGTGCTGCTCATCAAGGAATGCTTATAACACTTACAGTACTGATCTATATGAGATATACAGTGTTCATTCTCAGGGGATTCTAGCCTCTCTGCAATACTATTTGTGTGATCTTTCAATGTTCCCAGACCACGATTCAGTTCAAATCATCTGGTGCACTCTTCACCCATGCTCTTACCGTCAACTTGACATGTGCATTACCATAATGTATCTCTCTAGTCTGACACTGAGGGTAATTGCAATTACTACATCTCTCTTCCCCTTGTCACGTTGCTGGCAAATGGAAAGCGACAATAATATTCCTTTGTCTAGAATGACATAAACACGGTCGGCTTAAAACTTCATCCAGGGAAGCTTAAGGATTCTGAGGTCATCATCTTGCCATCCACCTTCGTCATGCTTCCACCCCAGGTAGTTAACAACGACGAAGCTCTTGTTATCCACCGTGCTATCGGTGACAGAGTTGCATGCCCTGTTGTTGTCAACACACTGAAGAGCAGTGGCGCGGCGAGATAGGATTGCATAGACAGCCTCTTCATAATGCTCCTGGGCAATGTCATGCTCAACGGTGGGCTCTTGTTAGGAGCTGAGGGAAGGTTATCAGTCCTGACACACGCTTATCAGCACACGTCCATCTCGTAGCACTGGCGCTGTGCGCACCACCCACCGAAGTACACAGATGCTGTTTACCCGCGCCAGGAGTGGGCCGCCAGAGCTAATTCAACATGATTGTCTCCCAAAGGACAGAAAGCCGAGATTTTGACGGGGAAGGAGGGACAGAACTCAGCACATGTCTTCCCAGAAGAAAGGGACCCAGTGCGAGGAGTCTACGCTTCCCGTCGCTATTTTAATATACCTCGCTTAACATCGCTGAGGCAGGATTTTTGGGATCGGAGGGCTGATTCAATCATGGGTAATTGCTATCGGATAATAAAAGAGGACACACAAGGCGGGCTTATTCACCGGGATTCTTGGGGGCTTATTGACACAATATCTCTGCTGTCAATTATCTCTCCTGCTCTGACAGGTGCACAATAACAGGCACTGGGATCTTTCTATTGAGCTCATAAACTCAAGCTCCTTTTGAGTCCAGAAAGTATGTGACATGAGGGGATTGAGTTTGATTGCAGACTGCTCTCATCCCTACGCTGCCCTCCCCATCCTCTTTCCTCAGTCCACTAATCATATTCCCTTAAAAACTGCTGGAGAATCAATAGTCCACCTGATTCGCTTCATTAGATGATATTAAATATTCAGACGACAGAGGCTACATATTGAGCCCGCTATCTAAGGCATTGACGCTATCTAAGGCCTACCTGTCACAATGCCTTTAACTGCATTAAAGCATCTACATAATTCCAAAAGAGCCGAGCAAGGATGTTTTGCCTGGACAATGCCTCTTTGAGGAAATCGGAAATGGGGAGGTCAGCAGAGAGCGAAAGGACAGCACCCTGCATGAGGTGCTCTGATATTTTTGGCCCTGTCACCGCCGTGGTGCCTGCTCACTGATTTGACTTTAATGAAGAGACTGGATTTGTGCGGTTGTACTCACCCTAAGGCTAAAGTCATGCAACTCCGGCAAAACAAATGATAGAGGTGCAATTACGAGACGCAATAAACAGACTCAGCATTTACCCCTTGAGCACTAGAACTACATCGCAGCTGCAGAAACCAAAAGCAACCAGGTACCCAATGGCGGAATCAAATGAACCAACAGCACCCCTTGGCAGCTGGTGAGGGGTGCAGACATACGGATGAGGAGAGAGGGAATTTAGTAGACAGGAATGCTAGTTCTGTAATGTTGAGAGGAAGGAAATGTCATCTAGTAGCGGTGTATGTAAGTGAGTGCAGCCAACCCCAGCCCAAGTGAATTTCCACATGCAAAATGTTTTCAGGGGACTAAATTTGCCACAATGACATCTGGCTGAGAGAATCACTGATTGCACTCTCATCACAAGCAGCAGCCAGTTGCAAAGTAAATGAGCATATCCATGTTGTTCTCTGAGAGCTAAACGTGATTAAGGAAATCAACCTATGAAAATGATGCTATAATACTGAATTGCTTGAAGATCACACATTCAAGAGGTTCAATTGCTCTCTCCTTCTCTCTGAGAGCATTAGCGGAAGATCAACAATAAATATTCAATATTAGCATGAGATAGCGCTTCATCATTTTCATTTCTGCAAGCCTTGCAAGAAAATGTTCTTTCATTTTTGACTTGTGATTTATGTTTCCCTCAAGGCAAAACTGCTGACTTCTTAAGTGCTCCTAAATGTATAATCTTGTGGGAGGCAAACACACAATAATGTTATGTTAACTATTCATTAACAACTGAACAAAGTGCATAAAGATGCATTTTTGTATTCTAAAAGTTTAATTAGAGTACTGTTGGGTTAGTTAGAGAAGACGGGATGTCAAAAGCCACATTTTCTAGGGCACAATAACTCTCCGCTAGGTAATAAGCAACTTTGATTTATACAGTGGTGCTGGACATAATAAACATGACCAAACACAATAATGTTGACCATTTTCCAACCCTTTAAATAATGAGTAGAATAAATTATTTAAAAAAAAAAGACAAACTAATGTGAGACATTGATGCTGTTTGGAATACAGAAATTATGCTCTACAACAGTTTACAACTTTTATTCAAAGATCAACATTGCCTACTACCCATATAGTACAGTAGAGAAAAGTGCTACAATGACTTGTGATATATCACTTGAAAGTAAGACAAGTATAGTTTGTCTGATAAGGACCTAAAAAATAAAATGAGATAAAAAAAAAATAAAACTTCTGCAAGAATGCATGTGGAAGACCTGCATATCTTTCAGTGCAGTATTAATAAAGGTGTGCTGAAGCTTATCCAAGCTTTTTATTTACTTAGGTAAGGCTGCATGCACCAGATCTGACTGACAGTAACTTAACCTATAAATGCTCGAGTCACAGCTGTTAAAGGTTTGTACTCACCTGCTCTCCTGGCTCATGCGACTTCATAAGGCTCTTCTCTCTGTACATTGACCAAAGGCCGACGTTTGGCAGAAAAATTAAAGCCACCATGAATAGAAATGCCATCTGCAGAACGCGTTTTTGCCTTCTCTTCATTTTGAAGACGCGAATGAGAAACAATCCAACGCTAGATAGACGTGTGTCTTCCGTGTGTGGACTCGAGCTCTGTATCTCCTCTCGTAGAAGACGACAAACTTTCACCTGCAAGGAAGACAGTGTCGCCGCGTCATATAAACAAACACTCCAAAATGAAGCTGAGCAACATAGTGTCTTATTTACGCGTATTAATCTCGGGCTCGAGAGCAACACTAGCTGTTTCTTAACTGACATACGCAATTAAGCAAACATTCACTGAAAACTCTACAGTATATGCGTAGGATATCAATAACTGAGAATATAAGCAGATGTGCTCGTTTTTTATCAGTCAGCGAGACGGAACGCGCGTAAGCAATACTATGAAAAGACTTACAGTAGAGGGTTATTTGCATGTTGAGACATTTATGTTGCTCGGCAATCCCCTCTCCTCTGTTGAAGACACACCAGGGGAACGTTTCCGAGTACGATAATTGCTGAACAACGACGAGCGCTACGTTTCTATCTGTGGCAATGCGCTCGAGATACAATTTGAAATCGTCTCGTGCTCTGCATTAAAACCCTCGCGCGCGTCCCACCTACGGAAGGTTTACGGATTCTTTCTCGTTCCTCCTTGGGCGAGTTTCTCATTGCCCTCAGCTGGTAGATATTGCGGTTATGAACCACGTGTGATGCGCATTATGAAAACATCCTGGCAGCCGGGCGATGCTTTCCGATGTGTGGGACAGCACAGTGAAGCAGCAGCCTTACGCCAGACACGAGCTCACAGAGTAAAGAGGCGAGGGATTCTTAGCTTTTGTTTGAGCTGTTGAACTGTAGCTTTGCTTGTTCTTTAAACGCAAATGTGTTCGTAGGTTCAAGTCATTAACCCTGTGAAACTCACTATTCTAGTGACATTATAGCTCTAATTTTATTTTGGAAGCGAGTCTTATAATAAACAAGAAAAAAAAAGTCGGATACTTAACATACCTACCTATATATTTGATTTACCAGTCTAATGCAGTTTTACTGTAAAATACTGTAAAACTCTGGAAGAAAATGTATTAATTGCTTTATAATTTACGAAAGTAATATTTAATAATATTCATGTAACAAGGCAATGTGTACAGTACTTAAAAATATTACAATGTGTACACAATGTGTACAGTATGTAAAATATTTTATTTAAAGCTTTCCACATGCCATGCCAGCAGATCACAAGAAGGATAGAGAAATAAATAAGTAAATAAAAAACAAATTACAAAAAAAACATGTACATATATATACATAAGCATACATACAGAGAACATATTTCAAATGCATAATGAAAAAGAAAAGAAAAACTGGAAATGGATTTTAAAAAAACAGACTAATTATCAACATAGATAAGTATATAAAATAAAATTCCAGTACCAGTAATTACCCAATTATGAAATGAGTTATTACACACTACTAGACATTACATATTCTACCACACATCTTAAAGAGTATGCCCAGAGTGCTGAAATCAATGACCCTTCTGTCTCTTCAGTTTACTAGCAATTTCATATCCATATGTAACACTCTACTAAATTATTGTTAGCCACGTCTCAAATACTCTTTGCTCCACATATTATGAATTAAGACTCTTTTGTTCACTGTGCATCATTAGAATCTTTATTTCTGTATTATATTGAATCTATCGTTTATTTATATATTTATTTCTTGGATTGAAGGCACACATTACTTTGAAGCTGTTTATTTATTATTGAATGCTGCTATACTTGATGGGAATGAAAGGGAGACAGATGGGGGTGGGGTGGGGGTACGCTTACGCCAAAGGCAAATGCAGCACAGCGTATGGAGACAGTATACACAAGGGATCACCTGATGTTTCTAAGTGAATTGCAGATCTTCATGAATTTTGTCAATACCAGGTTGGATCTGGTCCTGAATATTTAAAAGCATTGATACGCAATCTAACAAAGATGGTTTCCCTTGCTATTGTAAATTAAATATATAAAAATAATGAAATTTTTTTTTTTTGGTACAGTCACCACCAATAGAGGGGGCCATTAGGCACAGTCTGCTCTATCTATAGATAGATAGATAGATAGATGCTGTAACAAAACCATGAACCACGATTATCATGATTTGCATCACTCCATTCACAGCATATTTGCTTCAGCACCATGGACAGCGATTGGCAAGCACAGTAAAGCAGGTAACTGAGGGGGCAATGTAAAAAAATATTTACTGGTCTCATGGGAAGACATGCCTTTCCTTCTCTACTTAGAACCTTTAATCTAGCTTTGAAAACATATAGCAAATTTTCAGTGTAAATAAAATGTAAACTCCACCTGAAAAGACACAACGGCACACATCTTCCCCAGGCATCAGACTGTACTCGCACTGGGGGAAATCATTTGTTCAAGGCAAAAATTCACTATGTCTGATCTTTGTCTTAATTATTACGGTGCAGCACATCAGTCAAATCATTTGATGCAGCATATTGGCTGTGACAGAGAAGAATGAGCCATCTCAATCTTCCACATAAATTAAATCCTGTCAATGGCTTTGAAAGAGAGAGAAAAAGAAAGAAGCTTTTATGATTCTCACAAGGTGAGAAGCGTAATACCAGCACTATACTGTTGTTCTGATAGAAAACAAGAATGCAATTACCTTTTTCATATCGTTTCAGCAATAAACAATTCTTTGTGATAAAAACGGTGTATTTGTTATTATATGAACTATGATAGAAACAATCCCTCCACTCAAGTGATGATGTGACTGACTTATACACACTACAAATAGAAATGTATAAAAATGCCCTAACTTGGAGCACAGGGCACTGCTTTGTTAATTATAAGTCACAAAAAAAGAAAAAAAAAAGTCTAGACAGTGACTCATGTAAGACTGAACCAAAACTGAACTGAAAAGTGCTAAGAGATCAACATATGGCATCAGCTGGACTTGATCATTTACTCATGAGTAATTTCTAACACTGGATGTGTGACAGCTTCTATTTGCAACAGCCAGTTTAGTCAGCCTCTCAAAGCCACAAATACATGTTCACAGGGATCGTTGTTAGCTCTAAGGTCAAACCAAAAGGTCTGCTACCACATTACCCCAGGAGAAAATTGGGGGTCAAATGCCAAGGTCTTACATTTGGTTTACGCTGTAACTGTCATGTTACAGGATTTGACTTCACAGCCCTCTGGGTATGAGCTTTTGTTTTTATTCTACTCTGTAACTGTGCATTTGACTGTCTACTGTGAGTCCCTTCAAAAAATTATTAATTAGTCCAAACCATCAACCAGCCTACCCAAGATCCCCAAGTGAACTGTCGTGCACGCAAAATTAATGCACCATAAAGCAAGTGACATAAATAAATGGCTGGGATGAATATTGGATGACAGCCACACACAAATCATAGTTTCCATCAAATGTATTCAGCATCAGTTTAAACTGATGAAGTGACAAATAATGGGCATGCTAATATTCAGCAGTCATGTGTGCTGATGCTGTGGAGGACAAGCACAATGAGTTATTCTAATCACAACGCAATGAGCTAAATGCCATGCCTGCAGCTAATTGTGAAATGTGACAAATGAGTGTTCATCTGAGGAGAAACAGATGAATTGTTTGCCTGAGGAAGAGTTTACGTTTGAAGGATTTATGGGGAAAAAAGTTATGAGTAAAAACAGATAGCTTTTTGTGCATATAAACACACACACACACTGAAATCTGTCTGATAATCACTATAAAGGATGCAATAACTCAAAATGAGATAAAGTGTCATCCATGGAAAAGCTGTACAGTATAGGTTCATTCCCTGCAAAGTGAATTTCAAAGGGTATTCTGCCATCCTAAGTGAGATTCTAAGCCGAAGGGAGCATACAGTACATATTAAGTTTCACTGGCACTGTAAACGGCATAGGGAATAAGGGTATGTTGAAACATCACTTAATTACATCTGCATAGAGACCCTGTTTACTTAATCCCTGTGTTGAGTTCACTGCAATTCGTAATTACTGTAGTTACAATAACAATAATAGTCAATATTGCAACATGACAACCCGGATGTTCTACTCGCAGTTGTTCACATCTTCGGATTAGGAATTATGTGTTTCTATGGCAACACTATTAACGGCAAAATTAATTTGTGTAATTTGGGTAATCAATGGACAAAACCACAGTACCTACCTCAAGTAGCAGTCATTACACAAAGGCCTCATTAGTGAACTATACTACATGTACTACTAGTTATTCAACTATGTGTTTGCTACATTAAACTGTATTGTACGTCTTTCATTTATTTTCAGATTATTCTTGCTTAAATCAATAATAATAGAAAATTATGGGAATTATGGGAAATATTTCAAAATAACTGCTTAAATACATTTTACTGCTGAAGCTGGTGAAGCAGAGTGTATCCAAATGACGTTGCATCTGTCAGGTGGTACAATTTGTAATTACAAGTTTTACAAGGACTTGAACGTTTTTTACAAGTCGGAATTTCATAATTACAGTAATTATGACATGGAGTCAATGCACTTTCCATACACTTTATGATCCATCACAATGCTGCAGTGGTCATGTGGTACAACTTAACAAGTAGCAATTACGAGGGCATGAGTGTTTTTTACAAGTGAGAATCTCGTAATTACAGTAATTCCGACATTGTTTCAATGCACTTTTCATCCACTCATAATTATGGTAATTCTGGCATGGCTTGTACTATTCTAAATGATGTCTGAACGTACGAGCACTTGTGTTATTTGCCTCTTTATGATGAATCGCTTGATATATTCCTAATTTGTAAGTTGCTTTGCATAAAAGTGTCTTCTAAATGAATAAATGTAAGTCCTGGTTTCACTGGCGGGCTTTAGATTAAGCCAGGATTAGGCCATAGTTCAATTAGGACATTTAAGTAATTTTTATTAACATGCCTTAGAAAAAACATTACTGGTGTGCATCTTGAGACAAAACAAAGGCACTGATACATTTTAAGATCAGTCAGTGCAAGTTTCTTTCAGTTGAAACTGCTCAGAATTACATTTTAGTCTGGGACTAGGCTTAAGCCTTGTCTGTGAAACCAGGGGTAAATGTAATAAATATGTCAATGCAATTTCCAGACACTTTATTATCCAACAGCCTGCTGCAGTGGTCAGGTGGTACAACTTTACATGTTGTAATTACGAGTTTCACAAGGATGTGAACATTTTTACAAACTGAAACAATGGTTCCAACATGGTGTCAATGCACTTTTCATCCACTTTATTTTTAAATGCAGCTATTTCCTGTGAATGTGCGAGCTATATGTAAATAACTACAAGAATAAAGTGCAGTAAACAGTAAAACTATTTGCACTACAAATCAGTGCATTTATGATAATGATAATAAAATAATATGCTTATAAATGCAACATCAATCAGCACTATGGACTCTTTTTGCACAACTAAAATAACTGAAAGTGCTTTAAGATATGTATATTATCTTGTTGCCATGCAAAAAGAGAAATAAAGTCATTTTTGCAAAAACAGTAACCAAATGTCACAAGCAGTATGGAATTAATGGCCACACTACGCAGTAGGCATCAACAAGAAATCTACTTAAATATAAACAATACATTAAACTGTGCCAAAATTCAGTAACACTTTGATTCATATATCAAAAAATCATCAAGGGGACCCAAGGCGAAACACAAACTTTGTTCGTTAGACAGCCCTTTGAAGTGGAAATAGGCCTTGAAAGATGGTAC